TCTGGACAGTTCTCGTACGATAATCGTACAGTGTATGGGCACCTTTAGCTGTTCTTCTTTCTCATAGCAGGGGTGTGTCACTTCACTAAGCACTGAGCGGCGGCTTTTAGAGGGGAATAAGCTGGATCACCAGGTGTTTAAAAAGAATTGATACAGTCTAAAAGGAACAAGCAAGCCTTACCTTACACAACATACAGTATAAATACAGATACATACCGGTATATGAGATAACATTTTATGGGGTAACACACACTTTAAAGGTACAGTAAATCTAGCCATGCATGCATACGTTTCTCTCCTTCAGCAAGTGGGCTAAATAAGATATATCTAATAGATTCCTCTATCCACATTCAACAGCGTGGATGGAGGAATCTACATTATTAGCTAATGTATTCAGACAGCCGTCACACGTGACTGTTACGGTTAAAATACCCGAACAGTGACTACATCTCATTGGATTCAGTCCTTGGTAAGCTCCTGCAATTTTTTTTAGAAGTTGGTAGAGCCGAGTGGTGCCAATAGAATTTTAGGCGATTCATTAGAAGTTGTCCAAAATCCAGGCCGTGTGTGGCTACTCTATCCCACCAGAAACCCAGATTTGTTCTGCAGCAGAATTTAAACTGACTTTAGGTTCTAACTCTTGCTTTCTCTTAAAAAAAAAAAAAGTTTAACCTGCCGTTGGAATCTAAATTGGACCATTAGCCAAAACTTTTTTAGTTTTGATAGAGTGGGTAAAGGTTTGAACCTCTGCTGGGATTTCAATCAATTTAATTTACAAAATAGTATCAACACAACAGTATAGAAAAATAAGGCAACCAGAGCATTCAAGTACTAACCTGGAGTAAACACTAACCCCCAGACAGTGAGATTATCAAAAATGACATAGGTCATTGACAGATAAGGTACAAATAAACACAGCACACCTAAAAGTGGTAGTTTAAACAGCAGCTGCAAAAGCCATTCTCCTCAACATAGGTGTGGAGTGAGCTAGTTGCTCTGGGCAGTTGAAAGAACCACAAGAATAGGAAAAGGCATAAACAAGAAGAAACAAGGAAAGTGGTGGGGAGTAGGGAAAGGGCATTGCTGGGACTCCCGGACTCAATAGGTGAACTCCACTACAAGTTAGGTTTCACAGGGTTAGCAGGTGATTGTCAAATGATGGCGGACAGGGAATGCCTTATCCAGGTTTCTCAAACCCTCTCAAATCTGGCCATAGCGTCTAGCTGCCTTGCTGTAAATTTTTTGTTTGTAAAGGTCCAATGGATTCTACTCTTCATCTCAGAAAATGGCAGTGCTAGAAAGCCAAGCTCTCACAATGATCTGTTTAGTGGCTGTCAGGACATGTAGCATAAGTCTAAACTGATACTTCGTAAGTTCCCCTGGCTTGCGATTAAGGAGTGCCTCTGCCAGACGTGCCTGCATATTCATTTCCATCAAAACTGAGAGAAGTCAGTAAAAAATGTTTCCATAGATCGTGCACTACGGGGCATATGCACCATCTGTGGAGAAACATTCCATTATCAGCACAATCATGGAAACATTTTTCAAAATGGCCTGGAACAAAGCATTCAAGGCAACTGGGAACCATATACAGTACCAGTAGCATATCAGTTTATAGTTAGTTTCTTGGGCCAGAGCATCTTGCAATCAAGACTTAGCAGATTCCCAAAATTGGGTCCATTGGCTCTATCCAGAGTGTTGAGATCCACCTCACACTTGGAAATTTAGTTATGAGTTGGGGCTGTAGGGCCACACAAAAGTAACTGTAGAGTGAATAAATCACACCCCTCTGCTGGGATTTCATTGCTGTCTGTGTCCCCATTGAGAAGACTTTCCCTTACTTCCCTTCCTGGTGACTGTTATATGCTGTTATATACCAGCCACCTGGACCGCTATCTCGCTTTCTGGATGACTTATCTGCCTGGCTACCCTACTTTCTCTTGTCAGAAATACCCACTATCATTCTTGGTGACTTTAACATTGCTACTAACATTAACACCCCGGCTTCCACTCAATTTCTTAACCTAACCTCTTCTTTTGATCTAACACAATGTTTAGACACTCCTACTCACTCTGATGGTAACATACCAGATCTTGTTTTCTCTCACCTATGCACTCCTTGCAACCTCTCTAACACTCCTTTCCCGCTCTCAGACCACAACCTTCTCAGTTTCACGCTCACCCTGTCCCCAACCATGAATCCACCTACACGGCACACTGTCACCCGGAGAAACCTTCACCACCTCGACCCTTCTCTACTCTGCTACTGACTACCTCTATGACAAAATCTCACCCCTGTCCTGCCCTGACCTGGCTATTTGTGTCTACAACAGCTCACTTTTATCCTCTCTAGACACTTTGGCTCCCCTCACTACACGCAGACTTAGACCACGTCCACTACAACCGTGGCAAACAAAAGAAACCAGACATGTAAAAAGACATAGCCGCGCTCTGGAACGACTGTGGCGAAAAACTAGGCTTCTGCAAGACTTCACCCTGTATAAAGCTGCCCTCCTAAAATAGAATTCCTTCCTCCATGCTGCCAAACAGACTTGTTTTGTCACTCGCATTAATACACTCTCATCCAAACCTCATCAACTCTTTTCTACTTTTTATCTCTTCTATGTCCCCCACGGCCACGGCCCACTAACTCACTAACTGCCCAGTACATTGCTCTCATGCTCTTCGCCTGAGCTGCCACCTCGCTGATAACAACCTTCTTGATCCCTTACAGTCCAGCTTTCGCCCCTACACTCCATGAAACCGCCCTCCTAAAACTCACTAATTACTTACCAACAGCTAAAAACAATGGCCATTACTCCTTACTCTTGCTATTGGACCTTTCTGCTGCTTTTGACACTGTTGACCACCTGCTCCTCCTCAAAAAACTCCACTCGCTTGGCCTACAAGACCCTGCTCTCTCATGGTTCTCCTCCTACCTATCTAAGCGCTCCTTTGGTGTCACCTACAAATGTAAGTCCTCCCCTCCTCTTCCTCTTTCTGTAGGGATCCCCAAGGCTCTGTCCTTGGACCCCTTCTCTATCTACACCTCCTCCCTTGGTCAGTTAATAACCTCACATGGCTTCCAATACCATCTCAATACCGATGACACTCAAATATATCTTTCTACTCCACAACTCACCCCCTCAGTGTCCTTGCGTGTCACTAATCTACTAACTGACATATCAGTCTGGATGTCACAACACTTCTTAAAACTCAACCTTTCAAAAACTGAGCTCATGATATTTCCTCCCACCCGTGCACCTTCCCCCAACTTTTCCCTTGAGATTGATAACACAACTATCCAACCCTCTCTCTGCCACCAGCTATATCTCAAACCTGGTCTCAAAGTATCACCCTAACCGTCCTCTCCGCTCTTCAAAAGACCTCCTGCTTTCCAGATCCCTCGTCAACTGAAGTCCATGCTCGCCTACAGGACTCCACTAGAGTCTCTCCCATCCTATAGAACTCTTTACCCCAACCTGTCCGACTATCTCCCACTCTGACTGCCTTTAGGTGATCCCTTAAAGGAGAACTATGAGGTGAGTGCTTTTCACTCACCTCATAGTTCTAGCTGACCTGTGACAATGAGACTGTCACAGGTCGGCTCAGTAGATCGGGAAGTGAGCCAACACATATCGGTGTACGCTCACCTCCCGATCCTGTCACAGCTCTCTGCCGTGACAGGGGAGGGGCTGGAATCCCCCCTCCCCGCTCCGATCCGCCAGCGCTGACTGGCGGAACGGACGGGGAGGGGGCGGGTACAGCTGGCTCTGCCTCTAGATAGGCAGGGCCAGCTGTCACTCACACAGCTGGGCGGATCGCCACATAATTGTCGGGATCCGCTTCAGCTGCGGCATCTCAGTATACCGCGAGCTGTAGCTCGCGGTATACTGAGCTTAGGGTGACGGGAGGACACTAGTTTGTGTCCTCCCGTTACCCTAAGGAGAACTATGGGGAAAAGCCTTAACCCCATAGTTCTCCTTTAAGACTCATCTCTTCAGGGAAGCATATCCCACCTCAAATTAACCACTGAACAATCACTTTCTCAAACAATTCATCCCCACACAGCAAACTGTTGGCGCTATATAAATCCTGTATTATAATAATAATAATCATTCAAAAACCTTCCCATTATAGACATAGAAAGCAAAAAAAACTGCCAGAGGTTCTAATACTTCTATACACTCCTAAAAAGTGGTTTTACTTTTTCCTATGTTCCCATCTCCTTATCTAGACCACAAACAATGATGAAAGCTCACAAAGAAACTAACTCAAAAACTACAAAAATGTTTTTCTTTGAGTTTCACATTTCACATTCCAAACCCAAGAACAAAAATATAAAAAGTTGCAGCTTACCAGCCCTTAGATTTGGTGGCTGCATTAGTTTTCTTTTAAGCTTTTCTCCTTTATTTTTACTTGGTAAGTGTGCCAGTAAAATACTTCCTGTCTTATGGAGACATTCCTCAATCACCATACTGTCTATGGAGGAGCAGTGTTGTCAACCTAGGACAGGTAGTGTGGTACAACTGCAAACTCCCCCCTCTATTTATCTCTATACCATAGAGAGAGGTGTTCTGTAGTTTACAGAGGAGAACTTAGTCATGGCTGATAACTCCTCTAGATAGTACTGCGCAGTGCACTTGACACAGGGCAGCACTTGATTTTTGGCAGGATCCACAGGTAGTGTTTGCACTTACCAAAAGATAAATCGAAACACTTCCAATGGTATATTTAACAGACCAAAATGGAGCAAAAAATAGAAGTACCTTGACTATTTTGCAACATTTATCACAATTAGCCAGGGGACTTGACAGCAGTGGGTTTACCTAGTATAAATAACAAATGGTTGGAAATACAATAGTTTACAATATGTGATAAGATCACCTCCAGTGAAACAATCATCTCAATAATATAATTTGCTAATGTGGCATCCACAAAACAGGAGAAAATCTAACAATTATTTTTTTCAATGACTTGAGCCAGTAGACACAACAACACAAAAGTGAGAATGTTTAATTGGACAAAAGGTTGTTGGAAATTGAGTACAAATTCTTCAAACAATGGTTCAGAATACACCCCTTTCATGCCATAAGGAGTGCAGCCTGTGGGTCAGGACCCAATTTGGATTCAATATTACAAGTTTTCTCATAATGTCCGATATGGACTTCTATCACGTAATGTAAGACACATATGTTTGTGGCCAGAAAAATCCTAATGGCACAATAACATCTTTGATCCTAACATGAAAAAGACTGAGCACCTTTGAGAATTACACAATGTATCCTCTTAGAGACAGGAGTAAAACACTCCCTGCACTAGAGGTTTTGGGGTCTTCTGAGCTTATATATTTCTGGAATGCTTCAGTTCCTAATTACTGGATAAAGCCACTTGTGCCTTATAACTTCAAGTTATCACTCTCGTTATCCACAAGCCTTGTTTTAATCATCACTTTCGTCTAAAATGTGTTGCTTACAAAACTGTGATTTTCATGAGCATCTCCAAATGGACACCACACAGTTATCTGCATCATCTCTTCCAGAGCAAGTTTTAGCAGAAAAAAACAACTTGGTTGACCTGGAGAGACCTGTAGATTCCTATTTTGTCAAGGAATTTGTCAACTGTTCTCTTATGTAGCTATAAATGTTACAAAAATCATCTTGATGCAATTGCTTCTTTCATAAGCAAAACAAGATATTTCTTGATTAGTTGCAACCAGTTCAATGTGCTGCACAAATTAGGAAGAAAACTTGAGTCATTACTGTATGAAAATGTATTTCATACCGATGTTTTTACATGGAGTTCAAAATGTCATTTCAGTAAAGTCTCCATGGAGATTTGACATCACTTTCTGTACAATAGTAATTCTTCCATGCTAATTGGGCAGTGATTGCTGCTGTTTTATGTAGTATAAGTTCCCTTTGTCCAACATGCCAACATATTTACATTTTAACTCTTCCATATTTCAGTCCTTAAATCGTTGATTCTGAATCTTCTTGTAAAATGGCTCTTCCACTTCTTCACTACTCTCCCTTTCACTTGTTTGGGGTTTCCTCCTTAGACTAGCTTCTCGGCTAGAAATGCCTATAGTCTCAGCTATTAGAGGGGTTGGCACACCTCCAGCAACATTGACAGTTGGTCCACAACGTGGTTCAGGATCAGGCTCTAGGTCACTAATAGAAGAACCTGGAGACACACCAGCACCCTTTGGTGGTCTGTAGCCACGAAAGTCTTTGCTCATGTCAAAACTTCCTGGTTCTTGGGCATCTCCAGCCTTTTGTCCCGCCTTCCACTCCCATGGGCCGTTGCCTGAAGACAGATGAACAACAGGGTGATGAGGAGCATGTGCATCAATTGTGACAATGCTAGAACTATCCCTTTCTGATGGTGAACGGTACTGTGATGAGTCAGAACTGCTGGTTGTAGAAGAAGAAGATGTTTCAGAATGTTTTGGAGTACTGGAGCCTAGAACTGTTGCCTGCTGTTGTTGTTGCTGTTGTTTTGACATGGCAATCACTTGCATTAATCTTGGAGGGTTTGTAGCTGCTCTTGGTGCCCCTCCTTTTTCAGCCATCATCATCCATTTGGCTCTAATTGCTGAACTGCTCTTTGGGGAACCAGTTTGATTTTCTTCAGGGATGTGTAGAAGTGGTGGGGCTGCAGGGCGTGGTTGAATAAGTACCCGAGGAGCTCCTGCCCGAGCCTGAACTGTAGGATAAAGTGATGAAGGAATTCTGTCAGGGTCTGGTTCATCAAGTATAATACCAGAAGTTTCAGAGGCAGCCCTTCTATGGGCTTGTGCTAATGCAACCTCCTCTCCAAGTGTCAAACTACGCCCTTCCATAGGCTTTGGCTTCCATTCAGGACCTGCTGTCCTCTGACGAGAGCCTTCAGTGGGCATGTGCATAGTCATGTGCCGACGGGCAGTGTCCTCCATGGATGGGGTACTCACTCGGGGCAGAGTGTTACTAAAAGTTACCATGTTCTCCTTTCCCATGGGACTTCTAGGGGCTAATAAGTCAACATCCACGCTGGCACGTTTTAGACTGCCAAGAGAGTTTTTCTCACGCTGAACCTACAAAGAAACACCATCAGTCAATGAAAGCACATATCACACCTACGTGCAACCCGAAAACCTCTCTCACTCATCCTTTTCCCCTCCCGCCTGTCTTCCCTTTGTCTTCCATTGTCCCCCTCCCCCCTGTTGTTTTGTCAGATAGTCATGTAGGGTGTCGCAGTTTGACACGCTCAGGATACCCATAATGGGGGCAACCACTGGGTACGTTCCAATCAAAGTGCATGCCATCTCTCTACACGCTGTGGCGCTACCAGCACCTTTGGGAGTAGAGTCTTGAGCTTCATTTATCGAGCGCACGTCATATCGAATAATGGTGGAGCCTTCTCCACACACACCATAGTAGATGTATGCTGTACGCCAGAGCCCCGCTGTTGGAATGTATACCTGAAATATAAACACTATTCTACCCGTCAATAACGTACATGTATCACCTGTAGTTGTCAACCTATTGTACTACTGTGATATCTATACAGCTGAGCGGCAATACCGCTTTTTCTTCTGTCTCTGTAACGAGTGCCCAAAAGTTTTGTACCTTCGGAAATGACACCAAATGTATGTATAAATATATGTGAAGATGTCTTCTATATTTGTAAACCAATAAAAAACTTTATTTAAAAAAAAATATTCTGCAGACAAGGGGCCCTAGTACCATTAGAAAAAAATTGTCCTGCTTATATAAATGGATAACGATGATATACCTGTAGGACGAAGGTCTGCTTCCCTGAAGCCTGTCCAAAAAACTACCCCTCTGACAGATCTGCCCCATTGTGGCATAGTAGCTGAAACATGTTTCCAGTTGAGCACGCCCCCAGCAAAACAGGGACAATTGTTCTCCCGTGTTCATAAACAGTTTCATGCGCAAAGCCCTCTCCCTCTCTTTGTTACTGCAGTCGCTGTACTCAGAACAAGGCATCCCAGCTTCTATGCCAGGACGGGGCAGATCTGTCAGGAGGAAGTTAAATGCAACGAAGATAACTCTGCATTTGCCATTTGACACAAACCTCAAGCCCATAGACACAGGCCCTTCCATCATTGAAAGAAAGGTTGGTCATGTGACTTAGCTCTCCTCCTTCTGGACCACTGTGTAGGAAAATGTTTTTGGTATTTTTTTTTTTTTTGTGGCAGGAAAATGTCTGTTGGATTAGGCTATTGGCTAAGTTAGTTCCTAGCTACTTTTATAATATACAATGGGTTCATTCAGTGAACATGCATGGAATATGTGCTCTATAAATATTTACTATAACAGTATAGGCTTTATTTTTTAGAAACAATAATTATTTGTATTTTACTCACTTGGCGCTGGGTAGCCTGGCCACCTGGATGGGGAGATAGTTCATCATTGCTTGAGGATTTGTTCTGGTGATATACGGACTCATGTCCACGCTGTGTTAAAGCACGTAAACCATCTTTACTTGGGGGTGCTGGCAAAGAGTCCTCAGATGATGCCCGAAAATTACCCACAGCATGATATGCCTAAAATAGTATAGTGTTAGGTAAGGCAACTAGTTCCAACAAGAGATATTAGGCATGAATAGTCAACTCCTATGAAAAAACATGATATTACTTCAGCACAATGATGTAATATTGTCTTTTATGTATAATAATAAAAAATATTTTAAAAAACAACGTATTACTTACTAAATAAGCAGCGATGCCTGCTCCAATAAGAAATCCTGCGTACACATCTACTGGATGACTGCGGTACTGTGTAATCTGGGTCAGTCCACACACTCCAGCGGCAATGGCAAAAGAGAAAACCAGCAATGGTTTCAGAAGTTTTGTACTATCTGTTATGATGGAGTTAAAATACATCTGAAAAATAAAACAGTCATATAAGTCTTTATTATGACTCATGATGTTACCATTAGCAGTCCTAATTTCCATCACTGAAGCCTGTAGGCACACAACCTTTGGTCACAAAGGTAAAATCCTGTGCTATTATGCAGAATGTACTCTTGTTTTCCTGACCCTAACCTGGTTTAGAAAACAATGTATTTATTACCTTAGATGAAAATGTGGAAACAAGTAAGGGGTATACCTGTAGGGAAAGAGTCTCCTCTCCTGTACCTATAGGTGGCAGAGGCCTACTGTGTCTAGTAAATATTGTCTTGGTGAATTCTGTACAGGTAAATGTATGACAATAATGTAGGGGTTTTAATGAAAATCATTAAGAAAAAGTAAAAACTTTTATCCATGGCCAAGCAGAGAGGCATTTTGACAGCGGTGGCCACCAGGCTGCAGCTGTTAAAGTGTTATACAGACTGTAAAAAATTAATCATTATAAGCTGTTAAATGTAAATTCCATTTTAAAGCATTTTTGTACATTTGACAGCCAAAAAAAGGATACAAGGGTAATTTACTAAAACAGTGTATATGTCCTTACAAATGTAGACATTATTTAGGTAGGCAAATGAGTTACAGTTATAGTCAACGGACACATGTTGACACAGTTATATTTGGTCTTGGTTTTCAAACATCAATCACCTCTGTTTACCAAAGGGTTAATGCTGAGTATGTCCTTTTTGTGTCCATATAACATTCTTCAGACCCTGCTGTGTGCAGATCCTTCAAACAGATAACTTGCAAGAAGTCTTGTTTAAAGGAAATCCTTTGCATCCTTGACCTCAGTGTCTTATTTTCCTGTTTTCCAAATGAGACATTTACATGTTTGTTTATTCTTTCTGCATTTATACTATTTATACTTGCCTATGCTTAATAAAGACCCGTTTCCACTTATGAGAATAGTTGATTTTTTTCCCTTTTCTGTGCAATACAGTGTCCTTTGGCAGTATTACCTATTACATTGACACTAACGAGCACTTTCAGTCCAACAGATACTCACAGATACGTAGACAGCAGCAAAAGCCGAAAGTGTAGCATGTTGTGAAGGGAACGTCTTCCTGGAAACATAATTTTATGATATGAATATGCAAATATTAATAGCAAGCAAATGCAGCAACGTAAAGCAATAATTAGCAGATATATAACAAGAGATTTTTTTATTATAAGAATGCCTACATCGAGACATTCCCCTGTCCTCTATGTGCTAAACGAGACAGTAACGAGTTATCACTTTGTGAATGACAATACTCTTGACATGCTATATTTACCACTTGCATTATTAGTGGAAATTTGCTCTAGGTGTGGATATTCATAGTGACACAAATTGCCCCATTTTTGCTGTTTTGAAACTGCAGTTCACTGTTGCTAGGAAGCAAACATGTTGCTTAGCTACCTTTCCTTTGATGCACCTGCCCTCACTGTGTGAATGATTTCTTGAGCCTGTGCCTGTGTGTGAGCAATGGTCTTGGTCTTATCTAACCAGTAATCTAGTATGCAGCTGAATTTGCAGTTTTAGAAAAAGAAATTACAGTTGTGCGTACCTGGCTGATAAAATAGCATGCTGGTCATTTCCAGTGCAGATATCCTGTGTTATATAGGGGTTTGTTGCACATGAAGTACCAAGCCTTGTGTAGTTAGGCTTACAGACTGTGAGGAAGAATGGAGCATGATATCCAGTGGCTAGCTGAATGACATCGGTGACCAATGCAGTGGCACACAGACCAAAGACATGAACACCTATGGGAAGAGCAGAGAAATTTGTAAAATACATAACAAAGTCAGTGAAAAAAGTCTTTGGAATCACACTTACCCACAAATCGAACCGTCCTGCGTAGAAATGAATTAAAATTGCAACCCCCTGCATTAATACTTCCTTCAGAGCTACCATGACCTTTCAGTTTGGACTGAATACAGTAAAGGACTCCCTCTCCAAGCATTATCTGAAGGAACACAGAAGAGCAACATATGAACACAATGATCTCCAGCTTTCAAATTGGCCTCACAAAAAAACAGATACTCACAGAGGCTGCTGGGGCAGCAAACGCAAGACTGAGCAGCATGAGAAGTGGAATGAGCTCTTCATTACTCTCAACATATGGCATAGAGAGTGAACGATCATGACACTGAAATCCACCTTGTGCGGGCCTGAAGATGTCGGTCAGCTCCAGAAAGTACAGGGATACTATGGAAGAGGCCACAATGGGAAGCTTAAAGAAAACAAAGAGTGTAAGACAGAAGGCATTAACATCCATTGAAGCATTGTCAACTGTAAGCCTATATATATATAGATCTATATATATAGATCTATATGTATAGATCTATATATATCTATATATATATTGTGGAGAGTCAGCAGGGCTGAGAGCAAAAAAGGGGTTAACTTGGGAGGGCAGGTACTTCGCCTACAGCCCTTCCTGTTAAAAGGTAACACAGGTGAGAGAGGAGCGGGGAAGCTGAGAGACAGACAGAAAGGTCTGGGTGTGTGGGGCTGCTCAGAAGCAAGTGGACTCTATCTTGGTGAGATCACCTAAACGCACTACGCAGTGCAATCTTATTGAAGGACTTTATCTTTATCTTTATGTTTGATGTTTGCTGAGGAAAGCCTTTTACTTTACCGTTTTGCTGAAGAAATGAAAACCGTTTATTTATATTGGACTGTGTTGAAGACGCATGTGTACCCCTGGGGTTCCCCACAATATATACACACACACCGATCAGCCATAATATTATGACCATATAACCACTTGCCTAATATTGAGTAGGTCCCCTTTTGCCACCAAAACAGCCCTGACCTGTCGAGGCATGGGGGACTCCAATAGACCTCTGAAGGTATGCTGTGGTACCTGGCACCAACCCATCAGTAGCACATCTTTTAAGTTCTGTAAGTTGCAAAGTGGGGCCTCTTTTGCTCCCCACGTGCATCAGTGAGCCATGACCCTGTTGCGGTTTACTGTTTTTCCTTCCGTGGACCACATTTGGTTACCTTTTTAGTGAATGGGTAGGGGTACAAGTACCCCTTACTCATTCAGATTGGGGGCCCCAACTTTATTAAAGTGGTACCCCAATGCAAATAAGCCCCCCTGCCGGCAGACCCCTATAACCAACGCCCCCAGTGCTTGTAGGGCAGAGGCCCTTGTTCCCATCAGCATGGGGACAAGGTGCTTTTCCAGGGGTCACCAGCACTCCAAGGTCCATCTTGTCAATCCATGTTTTATTGACGTATGATAATCATGGTATCATAATATCAAAAACAGTGCAACAAACGAAGTGAAACAATAATCATAAGTCAATAACCATATGTCAATAAAAGATTAATTGACAAGATAGACCTTGGTGTGCTGGTGACCTGATGCCTTACACTACCCATGATCATGAGACAGTCGGACAGGCTGCCAGTTACATCATCACCATAACAGCCAAGGTGAACCTTGCGTTTCAAAATGTGGCACTGTGACTATTTTTAAAACATGCAGAACAAATGTGCCAAATGGATCATCTTACTGCTTATTATGTGGGCCAATGTCTTGGAGCCATTTCTAAAAACACAAAGCAATCAGTTTCTTTGTTTGCCCTAGAATAGTTTCCTTTGTCTCTGTAGTAATTATGTATGAATCACACATGCTTATGATGATACTTGCTTCCTTGGATTTTAGGGATTATGTAAAAGTCTAAAAGTCGTGAAGTAGCGGTTATGCATAATTTAGGGCCCATTCACACCACATTCAGATCATCTCCAAACCAGACCACATTGTTTCCGGACCCAAAATGCATCCCAGTGTATCCCAATGCTATTTCTGGCTTCTGTTCACACCAGCGCAGTCCGTTCCAGACCAGACCAGAAAAATACTGCTTGTCTCATTTTGCCTGGTCTGGAATGCACTAGAACTGGTCCAGAAAATGGTATGAACCTGGCCTTAGTCATAGGAGGGGCAGCAAAAACATTTTATGGCAAAAGCAAGAAACATAGGGATTAAAAACTCTAACTGTGAAAGCCAAACTATCAAATATTTGTTTCCCTACTCCTGTCTTTGAAGGCTCTGTCTGGCTGTCCCATATGGGATGGGGGGAAAAGAGCTGAAACTATGGAACAATTAATCTGGATATGAAGAAAGAGATGTGATCTAACATCAGGACCATAAGAAATAAAAAGGGAATAGAAGGATTGGTTATTTTTGAGGCACTGGTGTAATTGTTTAGAGGAACAGATATTGGAGTTCACCAGGACACTTGCAGTTACTTTGTCACGGTCTGGGAACCGAGACACTAGGAATCGTGAGCTCCGGGTTTTTGGTGCGGTCCAGAACAGGGAACAGTACAGGAACACAGGTCTTGGGGAGTGAGAGGATACTGGGTACTCTAAACACAGGGGACCAGGAACAGAGTGACTGCTCATGAAATGTGGGTGTGCCAGAGGCGCAGGGTCTAAGGAGTACCTGGTATTCACCAGAGCCTTAGATGGTGAGGATGTTGCACTGCAGGGCAGCTCCCAGGTTGCGGCCCTCCAACACACGCGTGCAGACACAACAGAGTGAAGTGCAATGGGAATAACTCTGGCATCCTGGACTAAGACAAGTAAGTCAATAGACCAAAGATAGGTATGAAGGGTCACCAGGAAAGACAGAAACTTCACAGAGGAAAGAGACATGGTGACAGCAGCAGTGAACTGACTCGTTGCTCAAACACCGAGCAACAGGTGAGCTGAGCCTAAATAGGGAAAAAAGAGAGAAGATTGGCTGCAGCCCTGTATATCCACGTAGGCTGACAGATTATTCCGCAACTACAAGTACACAGATTTCAAGAACGGACTAGGAGACTGCTGACTGAGGGGATGGTATAGGCAGTATACAGTATATGGAGTTGGACAGAATGGTGCAATAATGAGCATGTTCTTTTAAACATATGTTTTTTAATGATATTTTGTATATGGAATAATAAAAGAAATTGTATATATATTTTGTTAACATACTATGGGAATAAATACAACATGGGGCTTATTTAACCCCATCAGCTGTCTTATTGATTTACAAAATTTTTATTATACCAAGTAAATTTAAAACCAGAAAAAAGCCTAACATATTAAAATCACATTACCACCTGGTCCCCAAATATCATAAAGTTCAATGCTGTCATATCAGACAACCAACAACCATATTTAGTTCAAGTAGTGTAACTGAGCTGTCTCCATCCACCATTATTAGCTGTCACTCACGCAGCTGGGCGGATCCAGACATAATTGTCGGGATCCGCTTCAGCTGCGGCATCTCAGTATACCTGCAGCTCGCGGTATACTCGCGGTATACTGAGCTTGGGGTGATGGGAGGACGCTAATTTGTGTCCTGCCGTTACCCGAAAGAGAACTATGGGGAAAATCCCTAATCCCTAATAGTCCCCATAGTTCTCCTTTAATCACTGATAACACTAAACTGATGAACAGTAAAAACGTTTTAATCATCACCTATGGGCGTATTTTGCGATTTTTTTTTTTCTTTTTCGGACGCACGCAATTTAAGGCTTGACATGTTTGGTGTCTATTTACCCGACGTGACCCTGACTTTTATGTTTTACTAAAAATATGGGTAAGAATAAATGTTTTATAACAACGTAGGGAAACTTTTTTGTTTTTTTTTACATTTATGGTACTTTTTAAATTATATAGTAAAAAAAAAAAAATACCCCCCGGGTGATTATATACCTCCAAAAGAAAGCTCTATCTGTCCCCAAACTTTTTTAACATAAATTGCAAGGCTATAGTCCGGTCATGCTGACTGGTGAAATTTTTGACTGACTGGTGAGACACTATCAAATTTTTTTTTTAAAGGCAAAAAGGCAAAAAGTGCCTTGGCCGGGTCTTGATTTGAACTGTGGACCTTAGTGCTGCATGGTAGAATTGCTAACCACTGAACCACAGTGCTACCCAGTCATACTTTGAAAGTGTATTGGAAATTATGCACAGTCCTAAGTGTTGATTCATACTAAATGACAACTCTGTGTCCCGTTTATTACATCTGTTAATTCTATAGAGTAAAACACTCACCTCCACAAAATAGAAGCACGGTAAGAGAGTCATGCTGTCCTTTGGGGGGCGAGGTTTGGTCTTCTCTTTAGGGGATATCATGGCACCCACTGGGTGACAGTTGAGATGTGGGGCCCGTGGATGCCTATAGGCATAAAATACAAATAAGATGGTTTAGCAGATCAGACAGAGGTAAAGCATAAATCCAGCAGAAAAAAAAGACGATAATAAAAGAGAAACCAAAAATATACACAATTACATAATAGGAGACAGAACAATTACAGCAAACAAAAAGGCACATAATAAGAACTGCAATAAGTCACTGAATGGAAACCATCAAGGAAAAGGATCTGCACCCCAACCCCAGTCCCACACCACTGCCCACTCCAACAGGGCCCTGGGAGGCAAGACAGGGACAGGCGGTCAGAGGCCACAGGTCCAACTATCTAACACAGGTGAAAAAAGAAAAGAAAAAAACTCAGAGTGGAGAAAAGAGGGCAGTGTAAAGAGAAGGAAGGATGAGGAAAAGGGGCAGGAAAGAGAAGAATAGAAAAGAAAAAAGCAATTATTGGTTCTTGGGTGAATCCTGGGTGATAGTTGTGTGCATCTTGTGTGAACACATTTATAAATAGACCGCTTAATGTTACTTTAGTTAACAGGTGGAAATTATTTTTCTTTTTCTTATGGATTGGACATGTGGCAGTTCTGAAGGATCTTAAATGCAATTGAATTTTGAATTGCGTTACATGGAGCAATGTTAACATACGCCATATTGACACGGGTGGCTATGGCAAGAATCTAGGGACTCCTGCTGGTGAAGCTAAATGCTGCATGTGTCACACGTCACCGGCTGTCAAATTTGTAATCTGAACCAGGGGCATAACTAGAAACCACAGGGCCCCATAACAACATTTTGAGACCCCGCAGAGCCCACCTGAGATCCTGCAGAGCCCATTTGAGATCCTGCACAGCCCACCTGACGCCCTGCAGAGCCCACCTGAGACCCCACACAGCCCACCTGTGAGCCCGCACAGTCCACCTGAGACCCTGCAAAGCCCTCCTTAGAAACCGCACAGCCCACTTGAGATCCTGCAGAGCCTACCTGAGACCCCGCACAGCCCTCCTGAGACCCCGCACAGCCCACTTGAGATCCTGCAGAGCCCATTTGAGACCCTGTACATACCAGAGACCCTCACAGCCCACCTGACACCCAGCAGAGACCCCACACATGCATTATATTACCAAAAGTATTGGGACACCCTTGCAAATCATTGGATTCAGGTGTTCCGTGAAATTCCTTGCTACTAAATATTCCACGGTCACCTGTTAGTGGTATTTTTAACAAAGTGGAAGCGACTGGGAACAACAGCAACTCAGCCACGAAGTGGTAAGCCACGTAATATAACAAAGCGGGGTCAGCATATGCTGAAGTGCACAGTGCACAGAAGTCCCCAACTGTCTGCAGAGTCAATAGCTACAGACCTCCAAACTTTGTGTGGCCTTCAGATTGGCACAATAACAGTGCATAGAGAGCTTCATGGAATGGGTTTCCATTGCCAAGCAGCTGCATCCAAGCCTTAGATCACCAAGTGCAATGCAAAGTGTCAGATGTAAAGCACGTTGCCACTGGACTCTAGCGAAGCGGAGATGTGTTCTCTGGAGTGACGAATCATGCTTCTCTGTCTGGCAATCCGATTGATGTGTCTGGGTTTGCCGGTTGCCAGGAGAACGGTACTTACCTGACTGCATTGTGTAAAGTTTGGTGGAGGGGGGATTATGGTGTTGGGTTGTTTTTCAGGGGTTGGGCTTGTCCCCTTAGTTCCTGTGAAGGGAACTCTTAAGGCATCAGCACACCAAGACATTTTGGACAATGTCATGCTCCCAACTTTGTGGGAACAGTTTGGGGATGCCCCCTTCCTGTTCCAACATGACTGCGCACCAGTGCACAAAGCAAGGTCCGTAAAGACATGTATGAGCGAGTTTGGGGTGGTGGAACTTGACTGGCCTGCACGGAGTCCTGACCTCAACCTGATAGAACACCTTTGGGACGAATTAGAGCAAAGACTGCGAGCCCGGCCTTCTTGTCCAACATCAGTACCTGGCCTCACAAATGTACATCTGCAAGAATGTTCAAACCATAGACACACTCCTAAACCTTGTGGACAGCCTTCCCAGAAGAGTTGAAGCCATTATAGCGCAAAGGGTGGGCCAACTCAATATTGAACCCTGGGTTCTGGGATGTCATTAAAATTCATGTGCGTGTAAGGCAGGCGTCCCATTACCTTTGGTAATATAGTGTACCAGAGACCCCGCACAGCCCTCCTGACACCTGCAGAGCCCTTTTGAGACCCTGCACATACCAGAGACCCTGCACTGCCCACCTGACAGCCTGCAGAGCCCACCTGAGACCCGCACAGCCCACCTGAAATGGCCTCCTCCACCTCAGCTGCTGGCTGACACTAACTCAACAGTGGCTGTGAGAAGGAAATCGCCACTGCACAGATCACTGACAGGTGGTCAGTGATCTGTACAGTGGCATGTTCCTCCTCACAGCCGCAGCGACAGTCCTGAAGCCTGCAATGCCATAGAGACCCAGTCGGCCTGCATGGCATCAGAGGGACCCCTTTGTTTCTGGTCCTGGCCAGGCCCCCCTGTGCCCCAGGCCCCATAGCGGCCTCTTGGGTCATTATGGCAATCGTTCCGCCAGTAATCTGAACAAATCAAAGGCCGGTGCCTCTGCTGTTCACATGTAAACGCACATCTGAGTAGAGCCTCGTACCAAACCTGGATATGCAGACATTTGTGTCCAGAGTCAAAGTTTCTGCAAAGTTACTCGACCACTTTGTATGCAGCCACAGCACAGAATGCAGATGCATCGAGAATGCAGGCGGCGTTTAGCCACCTCTAACCTTAGCTAACTATTTGCCCCAGACTGCATGTCTGAATGGGGCCTTAGGTTTATTGCTGTTTTCACCATGTATTACTTTTATTCCTCTGTACAAGTCAATATGAATGCATAATAAATGCACATCAAATAGAAACCATTCTTTCCTTAAAGTACGGCAAAATTGGATTCGGAGTCTGGATTTAACATATCTCAAAGAGCTCCAAGCAAACAAAAAACTTGCCCGTGCAGTGGGGCTACCTCCGCACTGCAAGGGTTAAGTGCTCGTTTTGTCTAAGGGGCCCAAATAAAGCTGTATTTCTCACCTGATCCTTGGTCCCACCAGCTCCATCCGGGATGCTAGACTGGTTCCCACAGCCTCTTCTCCACTGGGCTATGATGGTCTAGGACCGCGGATGTCATCATGTCTTATGCGGGTCTATTGACCTGCATTAGATGGGAGGATGTTAAGGAACATTCCATAGCCAGAGCAGAGAGAGAGAAAGGTTAACTCTGATACGAGACCAAGGTTCAGGTGAGTAATACAGCTTTTTTTGAGCCCTTTAGACAAAACTAGCTATACAAGTGGCTAATCATATTGATCACTGAAGCATCTATGAACTTGCCAATTGGCATCCATGCTATAGGTGCACCATGCTTGTCAGGTACCAAAGTTACTTTCAAAATCACTTCCCCAAATTGATATAGCATAACTGTCCCCTGGGCTCCGGCAGTCTAAGGTCACTGACATCATCACGTCTTATGCAGGTTTATTGATATATAGATCTATAGATGTGAGGATGTTGAGGAACATTCCATAGCATTGACCAAGAATTAGGTGAGTAATACAGCTTTATTTGAGCCCTTTAGATAAAACAAGCTACACAAGTTGCTAATCATATTGATCACTGTAGCAACTATGAACTCACCACTTGGCCTCCATGCTATAGGTACACCATGACTGTCAGGTATCAAACTAACTTTCAAGATCACTTCCCCAAACTCATGGATAATTATGTACCTGCATTACAGTATGTTTTATAGTGATTGCTGTGGAATTCTTTAAGTTAATGTAGTTATTTATTTTTCCCCATTTTATATAGAAAATATGTCATGCTTTAAAGAGCACATTCAGTAGTAGCATTCATATCAGCTCTTGCCTCCTAAGGAGCTTATAATTTCATGTAAGCACATAAAAGCAAACACAAACCTCTAGGGCCAGTATGGTAAGAAGCCAATTAATATATCAGTATGTATTTGGGTTGTCGGTAGAAACAACAGCCAAAATAAACCCACTCAAACACAGGGAAAGCATACCCACCCCCTAATGTTCCTAGATGGACAATAGGAACCTAAGATCTGTGGAATGATAGACCTGGTACAATGCTCTTGAGCAAATCTATCTTACATGGTTTAGGAGTACCGTACATAGTTGATACCCTTACACCTGCCTTGACCCTTTAATACTCTATTGTACAAGCAACCATTATTAAAAATTATAAGAATGGGTAGAAAATAACAACCCACAAAAATCAGAACATGTGAAACACCTGAAATATCAGCTACTTAGTGACATAAGAATGCACAATGTGACTTTACACGTGATCTTAACACTGTATAGTAGTTACAAAGCCAGTCATGCAGCCAAGCTGACAAAAAATGATGTAGAAAAATAAAATGAAATATTTAATTGCCATAAATGCTGCAGTCATAATACCTGTCAGAATAGTAGAACTTGTCAAAAGATGTCATTACTGTCAGGGATACATTTGGCAAACAAATAAAATGAGATGGTCTGATTGCAGCTGCATATTACTAAGGAATATAATGTTTCCCAGTAATCAATACAGCCTTGCCATAAACTGCATATGGAGAAAAGACATAAAGATAATGGAATCTGTGTCGTGTGGGTGAATTATAATAGATGATGGCTCTTTTACATTAACACCTAGCCAACTGTTGTATGCATATTCTAATTCAGCGTATATTCCAGTGAACCATTAACCCAGCCCTGAATTGTGTGCAACATACCGAATGCACTCCATGCAAATCACCCCAGCAAAATCCACCAGCAACATCTTAAGAGCTAGCTAAAAATATATTTACCTGTCAAGGGAGGGAGATGCAGAGTAGAGAAGGAAACATCAAACCATCTTTAAGGGGAGACCAGGAACAAAGAGAATGAAAGAGGTAGTGCAGGATGCTGAGCTACAATAGTAAGGAGCCCAAAGGATGCCTGTGAATGAATAGAGAGCACATGGGGGAGGGTCTGCAAATCTGTATATCCCGCTGTAACAAAAGAAGAATTCTGGACACCTTACAGAAGGACTATCCTACAGAGGAGACCCAGACGCCTTTCTATTCAGCCCTTTAACAATGGGACAGAAGTCAGAAGCTACCCTACTGATAGACTATAACTCTAGTGTGATAGGTACCCAAGCTGCCAGGCAACAGAGGATGGAGAGATGCTGTCCGGGAGTGATGGAGGGAAGGCTGCATAGGGAACACCGAGAAGGGACAGACAGAGGAGGAGACAAATGAAGAGGCAGAGTCTGCAGTTTACACAAAAGCCATCAGGGTGATGAAGTGTGTGCTGCATGTGCACTCTAGCGTGTCTGCTAGGATTTTGTCTAATAATCAGGACATATCTATTTTAGGTGTGTCCCTGCCTGCTTATCATTCATTGTGGATATTGAAAAGTAGGGTGTGGGAAAATGAGTCCTTCAAGGTATTGAAGCATTTCTATGGATACGACTGCATGTGCTCCACATGTGGGGGATGTATGCACCTCATCAATGCAGTGGTAGTATTACTCATATCACAGCTTAGTATTATTTAGGTATTAAGTGGATCTCCAGGCATGTATAAAAGACACAGGTTAATGCATTTCTGTATCCAATAATACAACCTGAAAATGTATTTTGACATGCAAGCAGTTTAAAAATCTGAATCTGGTTGAAATCCACATTGAATTTGCGTATCTTGGGTGCTATTTACATATGTGACACTTGTACCGTATTTTGTCATATGTTTACCACACATGTATTGTAGTTGTTTTATTTTCATTGTTCTGCATAATACAAAAACATTCAATAAAAGACGTATTGGAGGAAAAATCTGAATCTGACCCAGTATAAGCCTCTCGCTGTCCCTCTACAGTAGAGCTCAGACTAGCAGAAGGAGAAGCAGCACAAGGAGCTGATCAGTTGTGCTGCAGTGCAAGTAGCATGCTGATAAGAGGTGAAAGCAGTCTCCTGCTTCTCACTTCATTGTGCAATTACAAGTGTTAGGCAGTGACAAGACTTGGAAGTGTTACCTTACTGCAGTAGATAAAAATCATGCTTCCTGCCTTACCAGAGCAGGCTTTCGTGTGTAGCAGGGCTCTGTTAAAGAAGAATTCCAGGCAAATAAAATCGTAACCCTTGCAGTGGGGCTACCCCCTCACTGCAAGGGTTAAGTGCTTCTTTTGTCTAGGGACCTAAAATAACAGAGTTATACTCACTCGAATCTCAGACCTGGTTGGCTCCTAGACCAGTTCCTTCAGCCTGCCGCCTCCTCCTCCGCTCCAGCAAGGAAGTGTCTCTTGGCGTCCTCATGTCCTATATATTGTCTAAGAGTAACCTGACTCTGGCCTTCAGGTGAGTATAACTTTTTACTTTAGACCCTAGATGTAAATGAACACTTAACATTTGTAGTGTGGGGGTAGCCCCACTGCAAGGGTTAACATTTTATTTGCCTGGAGTTATTCTGTAAGCTGGTCACACGCATATAGATTATTTTATTCAGCTTGTGGGCTGAACAAAAAAATACAAAAATTGAAATGCTAAGCTGTGCAGTTGGATGAATCTCTCATGCCAAACTTTTCCGCTGTCAGAATACCTGGACAACGACTGCAGTTTATTGGCTGCAGTCACTGTTCAGCTGACAATTTTCCACCCAGCTTCTTTGAAATAGTCTATTGAAAAGCTGACTTTTGTGAGCCAGGTGCTGTCAGCAGGGCCACCTACAGCTCAAATTTTGGCCAAGTCAGCAGGATCTGACAGAAATTTGAGCCGTGTATGGCCAGGTTAAAGTTGGATACACATAAAGAGATTTTGAAGGCTGAACGAAAAAAAAAATCTGATGGAGTCCTCCATCCACACTAAGGCGCCTTTTATACGGATGGTCCGATCGGGTCCACCTGTCAGTTTTTCAAGTGGACCCCATCAGATGCCCAATGTTAGTCTATGGGTCTAAACGGATAGGCATCCATTTACATTTGGTTACCCCCGGTTCAGGCCAGGTCCGGAAAAACAAACAGATCAGAGTTCCGTTTCACCAGACCTGACCGTGTCGGATCAGGGGTAATCTGATGTAAACGGACACATTATCATTTTTGCATCTGTTTCATGTTTGAGGATATTGAGCTGATTTATTCCAATTAGAGAACATAAGCGTATCACAACAAGGCTGCTTTTATTTTCTTCTAGGTGCTGTAAGACACATATTTTATTGCTTGCTGTGGGCCAGACCATCTATTTCCAGTATTTAGAGATCAGCCGAACTGAGTGGGGAAAAATAGAGGGGAATCCCAGCATGCAGCCCTTTACATTGCTTGAGCTGCTGCCTGTGCATATGTACTCTATCGCTACACGTGATCAGTTGCTACCATCGTTACCATGGAGAATTCACAGAATTTCACGGGAACAAAAGAAAAATGGAGGAGGACGGGTTTGTGTTTGTGGAAGACGTGAAGACAGTTGAGACTCAATGACAGGCTTTTATAATGCAGCCATTTATTAAGGTGTAGAAAAGGGCAAGCACGACGGCATGTATAGGCTGTTAAATGTGTTCTGCTAAGGAGAATGTTTTAGTACAGGCTGTGTGTGCCAGTTACCTAGCAACAAGAAGATGTGGCTGCTGCCTCTTGAGTACCTGCCTTCCTGCCCCCACACACCTCCCCGAGGCATCCTCAGTGCTTGCAGGATGCTGCTTGACTCCGGTTACAGTTTGTATTCTTAGGCATCGTGCAGGTCATGGTGGAAAAGAAAAAAGGGTTAGCCAGGCAAGGAATTTTTATTCATGTCTTTACATAACGTAAATAACAGAAAGTTCTATATATGGGTGACTAGGTTGGTTAAACTGTGAGAATACATTTTTATTTTATGCACATATCTTTTTTTGTTGTTTATAGATAATCAATCTGCAGAATCAGATTTTGTGATTTTGTTTGATTACCAATGTGTTTCTGGAATTTATTTTATTTTTGATCTAAAATATGGGGTGAAAAAATATGAAATGATTAAATTGGTATTTATTTACCATTCAACTGACTTTAGATTCAAGCAGCAACTATGTAGCACACTCATCTAGTAACGCGTCAAACAAGTTTAAGTGTTCAAATAGGCATGCTCAAAGGACTGAATTTTAAACAAAAATGTTCAATACACCATAGGCTTTTACATTTCAAAATTACTGGAAATATTCTGACCTTGATCGCTTCTTTTTCATTTTAACCTAAACATAAAAAGATCAAAACGAATTCTACACTTTTCAGTTTTGCTTAAATCCATTCCAAATATGAAACGTTTTGTCAGTTTGAACAATCGGAATGAAGTCTAGGTTGGAACCATAAATTTTTTTGCAAGGATATACAGTATGTCGAACAAGAGACATGCCTTTATGATTTGCCCTTGGTTGCTCTTTCGGCCAAAAAAATTCACTTGCAAAAATATTTTTTTACATCGATTTAGATCAGGGTTCCTTAAGTATGCAAAATCTCAAGGCACCCCAGTCTAAAATGTAAAAAACGTAAATGTGTACATGTACAAAACAATGTGTGGCCCATCCAAAATCCATACCAGGGGCCTTATCCCAAATAGAGTTCTGGCATGGATTTGAAGAGCTGCTTTCCCTGCCTATATGCCTGTCTATGATTCCCTGTCTATGAAGGGTTAACAGCGTTCCTCTTC